TTTCTCATGTGCAAGGCTTGCTCTTTCCCCAGCAGACTTTTTAAAAACATGAATTTGTTAAATTAACCCCCCCCCCCACCCCCCAAACGATAGCGCAAGCTGGTGTGGCACCACGTCAGGGAACTGCATCCCAGACCCTTGATTTGGGGATGGGGAATATTTGAATGGAGGCTCTAACTCCACAAATGCTTTACAAATGGCAGTAGCAGAGCTTAAGCCAAGTGATGAGCAATTTCTGTGCTGTGGTGTCGTCTTTCTAATTCCTTTTGCCTCTTATCACATCAACCTTGTATAAACTGAAGAGAATGTATAAAGTTGGCCTCTCAAATTTTTCAGTGTTTAACTTCAATTCGATTAAACACTTATGTATGTGTACAAAGTGAAAAATGAGGTTACGAGAGGTTAATGCTTTAATGCTTTTAATAACTCCTAACTACATGGCTGTAGTTTGTCAAATGCAACATGGATTTGTTTTAGCAGGAACAGCACATGCCAGATAGGAGCAAATTGCTATTTCCAAAAAGAGCAAGCTGTGACAGAGCAAAATGCTTCCAGGCTGTCTTGGAAAACTTTTAAAGGAGTGATTCTGTACTGAAAAGTAGTGCAGTGTTTTTAAGTTAAACTACAATTAAACTATAAATATCTGGTAGCCAATACTTCAGTAGCTGCAGCTTTATTAATAAGTTCTGGGTGGCTCACTGCCAAAATGTCAACAACCTACATGTGAAGAGCCAGTCATGTTGCAGTTTCATTGGTGTTATTCTTTACATAACCACTACCAATTAACACGATCGTTAGCACTCTCCACCTCTTGCCCACTACAAGCTATAACACTGCTATGCACAAAAGACAGAAATGCTATGGTGAAGATTACACCATGAGGAGATACTGCGGGAGGAAATGGATTTTGAAGTCACTAAGGAATGCAGACCCGCTGTTTATCTTCATTATCCAGTTCTGACAAATCTGGAAGAATTGCCATTGGCACCACATAGTTTATGAGTCTAGTATTGTTTTTACAATTAAAACAAATTTCTGTAAGATGGAATCCAGGCTGAAGGAAAAGAAAAAAATTATCATGGATAAATGGATGAAATTTACACCCAGCTATTTTAGTCTCCCAGCACCTATGCTCCATTCTTGATAACATGCTGACATACATTCCACAACAATTATTTTGCAGTGCCTAACACAGGGTGTCAAAGTACTCTGCCCTGTGAAGGCAGGTCTGGAGCCTGGAATCTCTTTTTTTAAGTCACAGTAACAGTTTGGTGTTTTAAGGAGTTTGGCACCGGAAATCTTACATTTTGAATGCATTTACAATCACCATCAATTGAAACATTGTGATGAATATCTGTGCTCAAGCACCAGTTAAGTCCTCTTGTTTTAATATTGCACGTGTGTATGCATGGACCTTGTGCTGCAATGTTTCAGGGACAAATCTTGGGTTCTGTGCTAAAGTCAGTTATGTGAGCCTGGTTCAGTGGCAGGGAGGAGGAGGGAATAATCGTTCCCTACTACAGCATAGCTAGCCACTGAATGCAGCCTTAACCCTGAGGCTCTTGTGGCCGTCCCACCACTTGGTATAGAAGAGAGGTTTGACCAGTGGATCTACGTAGTTGTGGAACTGCATGGCCTAATGCTCTCGGTTTGTTCTCTCAAGATGACTCAGAATGGGGTGTGGAGTATGGAAACCTCGACAGAACTTCCTGGTATCCTACTCTAGCCATGCACAATGCAGCTGCATCGGTTTTGTTGCCTACCCAGCTGACCAAGTTTCTAAGTAGCCACACCTTTATAGATGGAATAATGCCATTTCTAAAGCAGACTGCATCCTAGGCTGGGGCTTTCAAGGGGGCCGACAGCAGTTAGGCTCTCAAATCTCACTGAAATTCAGCAGGAGTTGGATGCCTAACTCTCTTAGGCGTCTATGAAATTTCCAGTCCTAAATCCTGAGAGCAAAGTGATATAATAGGAAAACTAAGTACAGCTTTCCACGACCGCAAGAAAACAACAGGTAGTGTTAGGGATAAATAGTTTAAGACCATCTTTGTTACAGGACTGAGGTATTTTCCCACCGCTACTCCAGGAAAGCATTTGAGAACTTAATGAGAATTTATATCTCCCACTGGCTTATTTCTCTATTAATTTTACAAGGAGGATTTCTCATGTCTTTGACATAAAACAGAAGAGTCTTTATATTATCTAACACTAAACCAACTGAAATAAGCTCTGGAGAAAAATGAATGCACTCTAATGCTAAACAGGAGCCGTTCACTGCATCTCATAGTTCTTTCTTCCTGGGTTGTAGTTGGGTAACAACATTTATGAAATCTGCATACATCCCAGCTGAAAGGTGCTGCCTGATGACATTTCTGTGGCTGAGGATCTATCTGTAATTTTTATCCTTAGGCTGCAACACAGGATTTTGTTTGCTGAAGAGTGTTACTTTTTGATTTAACTATACATAAAGCTATATTCAGGGAAGGCTAACACTGCACAAGTAAGAGCTCGCTAGTCAAGAAAATAATAGGCAAAACTTGTTGTTCTGAGCTGCAGAAGTGAGTACGGACTTAAAGTCTGCCAGAGGAGAGTATGGAATGAACTGCTACTGCAAACAAAATCTATACCTTCACCCCAGACCTCAAAGGTCTGGATTATGATTCATCAAAAAAGAGAGCCTCACTGTGGTAGGTGCTTTACAGATACACAGTACAAGACAAGGCTGGCTCAAGATTACACAAGTGTAACCAACGGAAGGAGAATCGGATTATAGAAAGAAAGGATGGGGTAACAGGAACATGAGTGTACGCCTCAAAGATTCGCTTAGTGTGCCTAACCGTATTAAATCCGTTAATAAGAAATGATAATAGAGAATGAAGATCCCCTTGACCATCTCTCCCCCTTCGGTAAAGACGGTATGGTTTCATTTTCTCCTCTTTGCCTTCTCTGTAGTCGCTATCTTTATAGGGGGAAGTGACATTGTGACATGAGCCATTATCATCTACCCTACACGCCCTAGGGCCTGAGTACATAATTGGTGCAGAACTGGGCCCCTAGTCACCACCAGTGATTATACTGCAATCACCAAAATGCCATGAGTTGAGATCTTTTATTTCTTTAGGGATCAGACTGTTCTGCTATCTGGTTGGACAAGCCATAAGAAATCCTAGTCTAGGGCCAGACAATGTTTCTCCTTTTGTACACATTACCATTTACATGGGAGAGGCTTAAGATGAAAGGCAGTTTCTACTGAAGCACCTGCTATTCCTGTAAAACAAGGTAGAACACTACAGATGAAGGCAGTATTTAACGTTCTTTCACAAGTTTGCTTTGAACAGTTGTGCTTCTTGTCATGCCATACAGAAAAACAGCTTTCCTATCACAAAATAATTAAGTGTCTCAACATGTTTTTTATCCCACATGTAACAAAAATTATAGCAGTGAAACTAGCAATAAGTTTCCCAAGGATTCCTAACTGTTTTGCTTTTATCATTAAATGATTTAGAGTAAAAGCCAAAGTATTGTGCATTAAAAAGGCAAATACTACTGTCCAGACATTGTTGCTCCTGTGTAACAGATCTCAGATGGACTCTGAGGGAGCTAGCCAAAAGCAATAGATGATTCCATAATTTCTATTTTATTTTGCATGAAAAACAACAAAATGACCACAGTGACTCATAAGCAGAGTCCTAGTAGCTTTAAAATGGCTGTTACTTACTTGAGATTCTGCCCTTTGTTTAAATTGTGTTTGACAAGTACTTTATAAATGATCAGGAGAGGTGGTTTATGTTTCATTAATGAGGCTGATAGTGGTTAATTACTGAAGTTGCATAAACAATCCAATACCAGATCAAGCAGGAAGGGTCAGTTACACAGAAAAGTTCCAGCTGGGCCAGATATGATTTCCTTTAACTATGTGAATACCAAACCATTTACAGGCAAGATCTGCTAGGAGACACGCCATAGGAACTGCAGTTCTGACGGCAGCTTGACTTCAAACGTGATTCAGAAACAGCAATAGCCTGTAGCAGTTGTCTACAGTGCTACAACTCTAGACCCTTGTGACATTTCTTAGACCTCCGCACAGGACATGCCCTCACACCAGAGGCTGTCCTGCTGAGGGGCCCATTCCGATCGAAAGGTGCCAAAAGAATATGATGTGACAAAGAGAAGAGGGGCTTGCAGGTCAGACTGGGATCATGGTCACTGCTGATTGTCCCTGCATGAGAATGTTTGCCATGCACAGCCTGTTTGGTATTACCAGATTCTGGCTCCTGATAGACGCAACCTATTCTGTTAATCTTTGCCGTCGGAATGGATGACTGAGTGAGCCAATGCAAACCAGCCAAAATCAAGCAAAGCATGTTTACGGTATCTGGTGATTTCCTTTGCCACCTAAAATGACCTCAAAGCAGGCTTGCAAATCAAGAAAGGTTATCGCTGTTTTTCAGAGACAAGATATGCCTTATTGCTGAAAAATGTCTATGTCAGTTTCAACTGATTATATGATGTAAATAATTATTGTAATTTGTTTACTGAATTGCTGTGCTGGGGCTAACACGCTCGAGACTGGTTATTTCTTGTAAATAATCAGTAAAAAAATGTCATAGCGAAAGCAATAGTGACTATCTTAGTGTAAAAATAAGTGCATAGTGATGGCTCCAAGCATTGTTACCGAATACCACTTTGAAAGTGACTCAAGCCCGGAAGTTTTAAAGATACTTATCTATCACTCAGCTGGGTGCCGCAAGGCATACACGATGGCCACGTCTCATTTCGCAAAAGGCACTTGGGACCCTAAGTTCCACTGAAAGTCACTGGGACTTAGGCTGAGTGATTTCTGTAGCTAGGATTTACTTATCTAAATCAGTTAGACTTTGCAACTCTAAGGAGAACAATGCAAAAGTATCTTTAAAATCTGAGGTTCAGATACATAAAGTCCCAGTGAAAGTTAAAAAGGATTTAGGCAGACAAGGTTCTTTGGTTGAATCTGATTTCTTTTATTAGACCAACTTAAATAGTTGGAAAAAAATTGACTGACTGCCTATCTTGTATGCATACCAGCCCAGCCTCTGACTTCTTTACTTTTTATTCCATCCAGGAAGAGCACACACCAACTGCAGAAACTTCCTGCGCCTGATGAAGGGTTTTTAAACCCAAAAGCTTGCTTAATTTTTTTTTTTCCAACTATTTAAGTTGGTCTAATAAAAGATATCAGATTCACCGGAAGAACCGTGTCTGCCTATGCCCTTAGACCAACACGGCTACAACCTGTACCCCTGTAAAAAGGATTTAAGCACTCAAGTAACCTAAGCCTTTTTGAGAATTTAATTGTTTATTTTTCAATAAGCAAACATTAACTGTCAAAAGTCACTTAGAAGTACATATAAAGATAGCAAGTCACCAAAAATAGAAATTATTCCTATGAAAAACATCTAGGTTTAACTACTTTAAACTGCAACCTACTGCTGCTCACTTAATACAGCAGACATGGTCTCTATCCATCTATATTTATATGTATGTTTGTATTCATATTTCTGTATTAAACAATCTGTTCATGTACAACTTTTGTTTTCAGCACTATGAGAATTACAGAAAATTTTATAGCCTGGTATGTTAATAAATACAATTGTGATCTGTATCTCATCCTTGCCTTTAAAATGTTAAGTGATGTAGATCTGACTTGTTTCTCTCACTGTATGTATCCCTATATCAAAGTTTGCATGTTTAAGGCCTTTTGTATGTAGAAGGAGCCCACATGCTTGAGACCAGTGTATGCATAAAGTGTCTGAAAGGAAAATGTCCTGTGGTTCAGAGATTTGAAAACTGCATGCATTTCTGGAAGTCCAGATTCAACCCTACAACTATGAAAGGCTCTAGACTCCTCAGAGTGTAAGAAGAAAAGAGCCTGCTATCAAAGCAGCGATGTGCCTATGGAACGACCCAACTCTGAGCTTCTTTCCTACAGATCTTTTGCGATTCCCAGGAGGGAGCCATAAGGTTGCTAAAAGGAAGGCGCTAACTAGCTAATGCTGCGGTAATGTCGGAAACTGCTGAACTGCTCTTGTAAGTAAGGAATGTGACCTCAGTCTGGATCTAAAACATCTGGTGCCTCCCTAGCATCATGCTAGTCATGATGCCCTGCCCCAGAGGTCTGACACTGTATCTTAGAAAGTCCCCAAAGCCCATGTTTAGATTGGTTAAATCAGTGGTTTTCAACCTGGGGTCCGTGGACCCCTGAGATTCTGCAGACTATAAAGGTGACAATGATCAATCAAACGTATGTGAATACCCACACTTACAATTCAAAGTGGTCTGCACCTCCATTCAAAAGTTTTTAAGGGTCCACAAATGAAAAAAGGTTGAAAACTGCTGGGTTAAATCATATGGAAATTTTTCAAAATGAGGAACTTCTGTGTTCGTTTACAAAGAAAAGCTACTAGCAAGAAGTACCTAAATGGCAATTCTGTTAGACAGCTTCCGTACAATGTAATATATTACAGGACAATAAAGTGCAGAACCATACTACACAAGTGGGCATAAAACAAAGCAGCAAAATTTATTCCAGTTAGATTTCATGCAGAAGTAGTAGAAATTGTTTTGTGGATACTTAAGAGAGCCAAGGACTAAGTGCTACAAGCACTTTCTTCATTGGGTAAAAAACCTCAAACCCCAGAACCACTTCTGGATACCACAATTGAGAGAGTCCCCCAAACTCCCCTGGAATCCACCTGAAAGGGATGCAGGGGTCCTGAGTCAACTTTCAAGCTGTTGGATTCAGGGTACATTTAACTTATCAAATATGCGTGACAGTTGCTGATAAACAGCAAGGTCCTAGATTTAGCTGATCTGTATGGTGCAGATGACAGCATGATACATTTAAAAAATCTACAAAAATTAAAAGTGTTTTGGCTTTAAAATGCTGACCTCAAATCAAGCTCCTAAATTTAGATTATGCCACAAATATATATGGTAAAATAATATTAGTGCAGTTATAGTAGTAGTAAAATAGTAACACTAGTAAAATAATACTAGTACAATGTACTAGTATTAAGTAGTACTAAGTAATATGTTAATATATTTATTAACGTGCAGAGATATCAGTGTTAACCAAAGTAAGAGAAGGTCAAATTCTATCAAGAAAACAAAGTATTTAGCAAGTTGACTAGGAGAACTCTGGGAAAGTGTGACGTGAGGATCCTAGTGGCCTCTGTCCCTGATGATCCAGTTATTATTTGATTTATGTGGACTTGCAGCTGCCCTTGTTTTGACCCTAGCAAGGGCTGTGTGGGAAGTTTGTGTCTCTGATAGAGCTGAAGCATTGCTCTGCGGAGTGTCTGGAGCCTAAGTGTATGCAAAGAAACTGATAAATAGGGAAAAGGCCCCGTTTCCTCCAGTTGAAAATCAGAGTTGAAGTAACTGTTGCATCTCAGATTCCCTCTAGGAAGAGAAGGCATTCTCTCTGGGGCAACTGTATGTAAGTATTTAATTCACTTTTCTAATAGCCTAGGAATTGCGTAGTATCAGCCTTCCCACAAATTAATTGTGCTTTGATGATATGTACTATTCAAAAAACTTTTGTCATTTGATTTTTAGGATGTTGTCTTAGTTACAAAAGAAAGAAAGATTACAGGTTTTAAAGCAGGTGATCTTCACTGCCAGTAGTTTTGTTTCAAGGGTATTATGCCAATGTAGACTGCTTGGTGATATACAGTATGCTAGTTACTGAAGAGGATTGCCTTTTTCTTTCCTAAAGGTAAGGAAATGCACAATGTAAGTAAGTGTTGATTGAATAGGTCTGTCTGTTTGAGTCATGTAATTATTATGCTGTAAAAGAGTTCAGACCCTGAGGATTTTGTGTTACAAGTAAATCTGTGTTAGGTTTAATTTAAAAAAATGTATCTGTTAACTATAAAAGACAAACTTTTCTTTAAGCGGCAGGGGCTATTTCAATGTCACACCTCCACACCACACGAGACAAAAAGTAACAGCGAAAGACCTGGTCTTCCCTTACTTGACAAAATATATACATTATTCCATTGAAATAATTAGACATACAACAGTTTGTCAAAGGTAAAAACAGAGGTTACAAAATATTTACTTAAAAAACTATCCCTTAGTGAAATAATCCAGTCGCTGTTATGGAAATCCCCCAAAAGTGATCAGACGGACGCATCAAAAGAACAAATATCTTTTAGTGAGTAACACAGATTTCCTCAGACCTCATCTTAATCTGGGATTCGTCGCAGATTAAGAGAACAAGAGAAAATGCCAGGGCTCAGATTATTAGTAAATTTGACTCATTCTGATATTGCTGAAGTTGTTTTCTGATTCTATAAGCTTTGCCAAATAAAAACGTTTCTAGTTTAAATGCAGATGTGTGTAATGGAGTGTAGCCAGATATATCACCTGGCAATAGTATCGAGTGCTAGTGGCCAGTAAACACCTAACCAAATGCTTATTTTAATTTTCATAACCTTCTTCTTTCTGGAAAAAAATAAAGCTGCTTAGCAGCAATGGCTGTTCATTCATGCTTTTTCCCAGGCTATGGGGTGCACTAAATAAATGTAAAAGACCTTCAGCTCAAGTTCCTGAAATTCTCTTGGAACAAGAAATTTCCCTTATGACACAACTGTCAAAATATTTACAATAGATGTTAATGTACTGTTGAATCAGAGATTTTGAAGAGCTCCCTAGAGCATCTTCTTGAAGAATGATGTTACATGTTGTAATAGTCATCATAATAACATTACAAAAAACAACATCACATCTTCTGCCATCAATAGCATGTAAACAGATCCAGTGTCTTTTAGTCTGTCTGTGTGACTTCTGCTCAGTCAGTCAATTGACAGTCTTTGGTCACAAGTTCCTATTTATTAGGTGACCATTTAAAATGGTACTTATTACTAAGATCTGACTCTTGCTAAACGTTTGCATGACTTGTCAGATTTGAGCGGGTAGATAGCCTACTGCATTAATAGACATCCCTGTTTAGGTCTGATATCATGTCTAAGAAAGACTACTGTACAAATAATTAAAGAGCATTATGAGTAAGATTTGCAGAAATGCCTATGTGATTTAGAAACCTTAGTCCCCCCAAAAGTCAAATGAATTTGGATGGCTTTTGTCACTTAATTGCTTCTGAAAAATTTACCCTAAAGTTTCATGAAAAGGGTGGTATATTTTTTCATTTGCTTTCTAACTATGAAAAGAGACACCCCACATTCTAACATTAGCTAGAATATCATGTAAGAGATAGTTAAAAATAGAGTGAGAGGGAGCAAGCAAGCAAGGCATAATTTTCCCATTTTTTAGGCAAATCTCAGATAAGCTCAATTTACCTGAGAAGACTAATGGGTTTTATCCCAAGCGTGGCACTGTGAAACAGGAAAAAGGGATGATAGTGGCTGCCTTGCTTTAAGGGCTGTATCATAGCATCCATTTTATTATTCGGTTTCAGTCGTCCACTTTTCATAAAGTTTCATTTTCTGCGCTAAACTTCTTCAGGCTTCATCTCTGTTCAAAGGTAACCTCTTTTAATGAAGCGAAATAAGAGTCTTGGCTATTTTTGAGTAAGAGCAGAGTAGAGGAAGGCAATTTTGTGATGGTCTCATCTAAGGTAAAACATTACCACTCTGCATGGACACAGCCATCATCCAGGAAACCGGCTTTTCCATGTTCTAGTGAATTCTGAGTGCTAAGTGACCGAATGATCTTTGAAAAATGCATGTCCTGCGTTTATGCTACAATGCGCATGAAGTTGTTAAATTCAGAGTGTGCAGCTAAAGCAGCTGTGCTATGCATACAAATGATAGGGCCAATGATTATTAATATGTGAACCGAGGAAAGGTCTCTAGAGATTCTGTTCAATCCCTGCAGTCCTTGGAAGTGGAGGAGACTAGGGATGGCTAGCACTCAGAAGATTTGCAGGCAAGGGCTCTGTTCAAAGCATCATAAAAGCTCTGCAGCTCCTCACATGTGCCTCTGCCAGCTTCCCAAGCATGAGGGACAGAACAATCGCAGGGAATCCAGACTATAGCATAAGTGCATTGTCAGTTTTGTAAATCTACTGCTCCTCAAAGTCCTGAAGAGGAGGTTCCTTCTTCTGATTTTTTTCCCTATTTTTAAAATACAGATGGAAAAAAACAATACGGTTTCGTGCCAGAAGACTATGTTAAAGGATCCCTAATCTCTCATATGCATTATGACAATAGCGTCTTTATTTTCATAATCATACTATTTCTCAAATAAACGTGGTTTTTGATTTTAGTATCCATGTCGCTGTTCTATTAACCAAGAATATACTGGAGTTTAAACTGACCCATTCTAATTTGCGGATGTTGTGAACGTTCAACATTTACACATCTAACGTGAAATACTATTACGGACACTGTTGCCATACACTTGCACACAAAAGAACAGAATGCAAATCTAATCTGGAATCTGACTCTTGCCATGTCTGACTCTGGAGTACTTTACTCTTCAACCTTAATGTTCTCCTAATCTGTTTTTGAAGGAAACATACAGCATAATTTAACTTTTGCTACTCTGTAAAACCACATGACCAGTATAATTGGGCCAAATCCTGAAATCTGTTCTCAGATAACACTCATTCAAGTCAGTGGAAGCTTTGCCTGAACAAAGCTTGATTCAGGCCATCACAATGAATTAAATTCATGACACAATGCATGTGGAAATGTACTGCATTTACATTACAGATAGAATGGGTCAGTGTAATTTTATTTTACTTTGCAGTACATTTTCACGTAAAGCAACAACTACAAGTGTATTGGAATTAGAAATACACATTTCCATCAGTTTAAAAAAGTGCATATTTGCTGAAGAGAAAAATGTAGACTTTGTCCATGCCAAATTGATCCCAATGATAAGGGCCTCATGATTCACTGAGTCACTTCTCTTTCAAGCAAATATTTACTAGCAGAGATAAGAATGGCAACATTCCAGCCTCTGTACATGACTAGAACTGAAACCTTTCCTGTCCTTCCATATGCCTGTACTGGGAGAAGACATGCAAAGTATTTGTTAGCTGGGGATGGGTATGCCTCAACATACAGTTTCATTCTGGATTTCCTAGAACCATAAATTCATCTTCTGATGCTCACTATGTAAACTGTATTCCATGTAGCATCCCATGCAGGTCTTTCAGATCTTAAAAAAACAAGCTCCTGTTGGCTCTGCAGGCATCATTACAGATCCTGTGACACTTTGGATGGGAGGAAATATTTGACCCAATGTTCCAGTGACAAAATTTCCTGTTCCTAAACCGTCATACGACATGCTATATGCTCGATGGCTACCCTTTAACAGTGTTATATATCAACTGAGAATTGTTTGGGGATCCATTAGAGTGACAGGTCCAGCGAAAATCTAAAATACAAACACCATCTATTTCTCACGTTGTGTGGGTGTGTGAAGATATACAGCATCTTATATACCTTTTTCTATAGTGCTTTCAACATTTGACGTGTCTCATTTATATCCTATATTCTGTATATACTGCATACCTAATAGAATTTTACTTTAAAGGGTTTCAGAGTTTATAATTGTTTACAGCTTCCTTATATTTACTCCTCTTGTGAAGCTAGGCATTTTTACTGATATGATTTGGACTGTTTAGCCAGCAGGCAGCCCTTGCACTGAAGCACCCTCATGCCCCAGCCAGCCAGCTCAGTGCCTGCACGTGCACTGCTGCACATGAAAAAACTCCTTAGCAGGGTAGTAGTTGTATGTGCAAGTCCTACCTTGCTGTACAGTTTATTAGTTTCATGTGCCCAAATAGTCAACTGTGCAGTAAGTTAGTCAACAGCTCAGTAAATGTTTCATGTAGACTTGCCCACAGGGTACTATGGAATAGCTATTGCACCTTAAATCTACATCCTAGCTTATTTTGCAATAACGTCCCAGTGTAGAAGAGCCTTTACAGGTGAGGGGTAACCATCTGTATCTTGACTTGCAGAGCTCTGCTGTCCATGATCAATGGACTTTCTATCCATCTTCATGTCTCTTAGTATCTGATCATGGCCTCGCAGTCTGGATACTGCTCTCTTTTCAGAGCTGTATGGCTAATCTCCCACACCAATTCTTTCTGAAGTGACACTTCTCCGCCTTATTACAGCCTAAGTCTTGACATTTCCATTTCTTCAGGTTTCCTCCTCAAAGGTACATCCTATACCAAAGTGAATGAAACTGTGGGAGCTGGAACAGAATATGGCAAATACCTTTGTCACTGTACCTGATGGATATTGTCTTGCCGAACCCATTCAGTATTATGGTGAGCAAAGCAAAACGCAAGTATTAAGAAAGCAAAATGAGTGTCTGCAGCAGTCATGGGTTGGTTTGTTTGTTGTTTGATTGATCATTAAAAAGCTGTGCACACTTCCACATTAACTGTCCAGTCCATGCTGTGAGAAATGTTCAGAGTATATTACTTTTTATCCATGCATTGAATGGAACTTATCTAGGAGTAAATATTCTGCTAGACAGAAGCCCAGCCTCTTTCCTGGAGCACAATCTGAATCCACAAACATTAACAGCAGGTGCAAATCAGAGTATACCGCACTCTAAATACATGATTTATGTCTGCAATTCAACTAACTGTGCAAAATAAATCGTTGCTTTGTAAGATTCCAGTAGCATCATCAATATGACATTGATCAAGCATATATGAAAACAGCCCCTACCTACTTCCCAAACTTTACTAAGAAAAATGACAAGCACCAATTTAAGGGGAAAAGAGTGACATTTTAAAAATGTATTTCTTAGTATCTGTGCCTTAATAGTTACAGATTATAAAAAGATATTAAAATCTGCAATAGTCACAAACCCTTCCTTAGGTTTTAGTTTCATTCTTGACTTTCATTGTCTAGATGTTTTGCCAGAGCACATCAATTATCAGCTGCAAGATACAGACTTTCAGCCTGCTCCTTACTGCCAGTATTCACCAGTACAGTTTCCTCCAGTGTTACCGTCACAACCTTCTCAGCCCCAATACAGCATGTATAGCCTGGACTCTCAGTACGGTGATGGGCAGTACATAATAAGTAATTGTGAATTAAACAAACCTCCCTGCATGATTGCTCACACTGATGAGGATGGATATCATGGGCTAAAACGACCAAGAATGATAAATTATTTAGAAAACCTTATTTATGAGGTAAGATTGAAGGAATGGAGTTTGTTTATTCTAGAAAAGAGAAAGAAGAAGACATAAGTCTTCCAGCACAGAAAAGGTTGGTCACTTCTAATACACAATTATTCACTATGTCCACTGGGGGAGGGACAAAAAGAAATTAGTTTAATTTGCAACGAAGA